CAGAGCACGAAGACGACGCTGCAGCACATCGCGCGGCCGCCCGCGGGCTTCGACGTCGCCGCGTACAAGGAGAAGGTGCTCGGCTTGCCCCAGCGCGGGTTGGCGTGTCCGTTGCCGCACGTCGTTGAGAGTTCTGAGGAGGGAGAGGGGGACGGGGAGGAGGGGGCGAATAAGTTGGCGCTGACGGGGAACCACGCGCGGGCGGGGCGCAAGGCGGTGAACGGGAAGGAGGAGAATGGGGTGCATGCGGAGGCGGCGGCGGGCGATTTGAGCAGCTATTTCGGCCAGCAGATCCCGTTCAACCAGATCGTCGCGCTCGGCGCGCTGAAGAAGACGTCCTCGGGGACGTACGTCTCCGCGAACGGGTACACCGAGGGTGCGTCTCTTCCCCTCATTCACCTCTCTCTCCCCTTCTCCACGGAGGCTATTCCTGTATGCTGATGTGGCTTGTGGCACGTAGGCTGGGACGACTGCAGCGACACGCCGTTCCTGTTCAATACGTCGCGCAAGACGGTCGTCACGTACGACGACACGTACTCGCTCGGCGACAAGGCGCTCTTCGCGAGGCAGAACGGCATGGCGGGCTGCTTCACGTGGTCGCTCGACCAGGTGCGTCCTATCCCGATCCTATGCTACTCTCCCTGACGAGATGGGGACGGCTGACTGGGTGCGAACAGGATGACGGGTACACGCTGACGAACGTGATTCGCTCGAATCTGGGCAAGTGATCCCTCGTTAGCGACAACGAATGGCCTGCGTTTGGCCACATTAGTCTCCCCGACACACAATGCGCACGACCACCGCGGTTCCTCTTTCTTGACGTTCTTGATGATGATGACGGCGAGCACGACCTTCCATGATGACTTAAGATTATATATTTATGTAGCCTGGTGTTTTCGCATGTCTGTATACTGAGTCTTAGTGTATCGTCATATATCCTGAGATGAGGTGAATGCATATGGTTCCCTCAAGTAACCACTATAGTGAGGGAAGAGATGTCGTTTATGATAGAACGGTGCGCAAGAAGTGGAGAACAAAGTACGAGAGCAAGTAATCTAAGACAGTTCCGAGAGCGATACACGGATACATGCGGGTGGTCATACAGGAGTGAGGGGTATGTCGACTAGGACTAGGAGGTAGTGTAGTATGGGATGTCAAGAGATGTCCGTGCCGATGTGATGTGCGACATACAGTGAGATGAGTACATACGAGAGGGTCAGAGTAAGGTACGACAGATGCAAGTGGGAAGGGATGGCAGCGGGAGCGATCATACTTAGTGATAAATATGGTCCAAGCACGGGTGTCCGTGTCCATGTCACGTATCGCATATGCGACACCGCGCCGCCTTTCACGCCCCGGCGTCGAACTCGAGGTCGGTCGCGACGTCCTCCCACGCGTCCATCGTCTTCAATATCTTATTGCACTTCGCGCGCACGTCCACGTACGCGTCGCGCCCGAGCACGAGCCACAGCGGCCACTCGCGCCCGGCCGCGCGGCCCTCGCCCTTGACGACGTCGACGAGGAGCTCCATCGCCTTCGCGGGGTCGCCCTTCTCCGTGCCCGCGAGCGCGGCGAAGCGCGCCATGCCCGCGTCGCGCGCCGCGTCGTACGCGGGCACGTGCGTGTGGATCGTCGCCGGGTACGCGTGCACGCCCTCGGTGCGGAACGCGCCGGGGGCGACGATGAGCACGCGGATCCCGAACGGCTTCAGCTCGCTCGCGTATGTCTCGCCGATCGCTGCAGGGGAGAAAAGGGCAGGGTGAGTACGGATGTGCGAGGGCAGCGGGGATGGGGGCGGGCGCTCACCATGTACTGCGGCCTTGGAGGCGGCGTAGAAGCCCGCGGGCTGCGAGGGACAGGGCGGTCAGTGACCGGACAGATGGCAGGAGTGGGAGGACAAGGAACATACCGAAACCTCAGGCCGCCACGCGGACCTGCTCCCGATGATTACGACGGTGCCTGAGCGGCGCTCGCGCATTTGTGGCAGGACGGCGTTTGTGACATTGAGCACGCCGAAGACGTTTGTCTGGAACTGGGTGAGCGCGGCGAGCGACCTGATCGACGGAGACGGGCCCGTTAGCAAATCCGTTTCCATTTGCGCAGACGGCGTGCGCAGCCAGGCACGACACTCACCCTCCCTCCTCGAGCACGGCCTTGACGCCGTATCCTGCGTTGTTCACGACGACGTCGATGCGCCCCCAGATGGAGAGCGCCTCCTTGACACGTTGCTGGACGAGCTCGGCGCTGTCGGAGACGTCGAGCTGCATGAGGTGTAGTCGGCTGCGCTCGGCGGCGGGGAACGTCGCTCTGAGCTTCTCGAGATTCCGGGCGGTCGCGACGACGCAGTCGCCCCGCGCGAGGACGGAGGCGACGAGACGCTTGCCGAAGCCGGAGGAGGTGCCTGTAGAACGCGATGGTGAGCGTCGATAGTGCGGAGGGCGGCAGACACGAGATTGACGCACCCGTAATGAGCCAGATCTTTTGGTGGAGGGCGCCCATGGGTGGCAGTATCAGACGGGCGCGGAAGAAAGAAGCGGGTGACAGAGAGGGGTATGTACGAGTGTGTGTGCTAAGAAGTCGCCAGGGAGGTCGACGCAGGGATTGTGACAACGCTGCAGGCTGCAGGGGTACCGTCTTTATAGCAAAGGAGTGCGGGGTGCGACGCACTGCTTCGGATCTCGCAGACGCTGCGCCCCGGCCGCTGCCTCTACATGTCGGGTCGAGTCGAGTATACAAAACACTTACGAGGAGTGTGGCGAATACGACGCCGGGACAGCCCTCCTGATGGCCACGCGGGGCTCCTGCCTCACAGAGCCATCCCGCGAGCTCTGTTACACTCGTCTTCCCGAAACGCACCTCCGGCTAGATTGGCGCTCCGATGACTCAGGACGGCAGTGCTCTGCCCAGATCTCGCAGAGGTGAGGCACACCGATGGAATGCAGACGCTCCGTTCTCGCCGCGCCCGGGCTCACGCCGTGCTTGAGAGCAGACAGCAGGAGACGTCCGCGTCAGCATCGCAGCAGATTGCGCACATCAGCGAGCAAGAGATGCACTGTGGCCCTACAGTTCCCATCGACGTTTGACGCCGCCTCAGGGATGCGTGGTCTGTATTTGGACGGGGATGACACACCAGCCTTGAATTTGAGTCATTGCAGCCGTCGTCCGTCCTTGAGTCCGAAGCAGTGTCTGACTCTCGTCGGCCTAGAGCTCGCGTACGTTAGTGCGCCACCGCAACCTCCGCCAACGCCCTAAGGATCCCGGTATTCCCATCAGTACGGAGAGGAGGGTGGTGTAAGGCCCAACTACGGCCCGGCTAGACAACGAGGCGATACATTGACGAGGCTTCTCCGGGAAGCTGATGTAATCGTTTTTCATACGTTGCGGTGTTGCGACGGGGTGTCCTGTTGACCCGTGAACCTGGGCGGCCAAAACTGCCAGTGGCGAACAGAAGGCAAACCAGCTGCGGCGAGCTACGGGTGTTCGCATATGGAGGCAAATGCGCCGTTGTCAGCGTCCAGCCGGACCGAGCCCGAAGAACGCAAACTACGCAGAAGAACTGTCGTATACCCACGACTATTATGGGGCACCATTGACGGCCGTCGCATTGACTTGCTTTGCGGCCGATTCTCATGCAGTTCTCACTTCGACATACCCGCACTGGCGGACGCCGCCGCCACTGCAGAATTAACCGGCTGCCATAGGGATCGAGTGGCCGGCGACGATACATCCAGGGCTGCCAGTGCCCACAAGAATGCAACCTGCCGCGAATCGGGTTAAGTGGCCGAATAAGTGTCTGTTGACGGGCATGTTCGGCGCATACCCGAGGATCCTGTAGCGTATTTGGGACATGATGACAACTGTTCGCCGCACACGTTGCGGAATGACGTGGACCTGATAGCGGGTCAATGCCTGGAGATATCATGGACCCTGCGCGTACGCGCAACTCACCGAGGAAGGCATCATGACTGATGTGACATTCAGCATTGGCCAGTCAGCGAGGTTTCGAGGGCTGCTTCTTTCAGTCGCATTCACTGCTGTGAATGAACGGCGGTCGGGACGCGATGCTTCCCTGCCATTCCACACCATGGGCGAACCTGATCATACAAGTCTGTTAGGCAGGATCCCCGCCTACTGACAACCTGTAGTCGGGGTTCTTCCGACCCTTCCGACCCTGGTGCTCCTTTGGTGCGTTGCTTTCCTTCACTCGTCTAATTGGGAAGCCTGTGATGGCCAACCACCTCACCGCCGAGCATTGAGGGTCCCTGCTTCTCAGAATTGCTTACGTCGTGACTGCGCTGGATGTGGTGATGAGAACGCTTGATAAAGCTGTTCATAGCCTCTGCTGAATCGTTCACAGCAAGTCTAACACCGAAACGAGGTGTGGACGAGACTGAGACGGCGACTTACTACTGCGTTCCACTGTTCTGCACCGCGCGTGATGGCATGTCCTCCGTCAACCTGTATCGACTATGCACCTTCTCATCCTGCGGTCCCATCCCGGACGTCCTGACGAAGGGGGACCACGTATAGGAGGCAAAGGATATCAGACGTAGGCACAGGAATGCGTACCTATGATAGAGGCGAAACGCGCCCAGAACAGGACTCGGGAACGCGGTAATGCGAATGCGGTGTCTTCACCTCAGATGTATCGCCAGACATGGCATCTCCTAAGCAGCGATGCAACGCATCTAGACCCTGGAGAACCTGCGTGTTGCGAGCCGCAAGCCTGGCCGGCGCCGTTGCTCCGTGCCAAGTATCATTGATTAGCATGACGCATACTGTATCGTCTCCGAGAAGCCTTCCCCAAGCCGTGTTCAGAGGCACTACCTCCAGTTGAGAACGTGTGCGTAGATGCGACGGGAATGAAGTGAGCGGAGATAGCTACAGCGACATAGACTCAGGGTTCATGAGATGGTCAAGAAGCGAACTCTGGATGCAGAGTCGCTTGAACTCGCACTTCGCAAACATGATATGAAGTAGCTCACTTTGTATTGAGCGTCTCCCGCTTAGCTCAGTTGGTAGAGCGCGTCACTAGTATCGAGCGCCAATTATCAGCTCTCGGCTATGACGAGGTCAGTCGTTCGAGTCGGCTAGTGGGAATGCCTTTTTTCCCAACTTCTCTAAGACAAGCTCTCAAGCTCTCACTGAGCAACGATATAAGCTCGAAGTCGGAGTGTGACTGTACGCCATCGCTAACACTGCTATGAAATCAAGCAAGGTTCAAGAGCTCGTATTGTTTTCATTTGGAATCACCGAGAACTCGGCAAGGTTGGCATCGATGAGACGGTGTTCCGGCACGAGTAGATGGGCCAAGCTGTGGTCACGCGCAATCCGTGTACGTACCAGATACCATCAAGCCCGATCACACATCCTGGTAAGTGAAGGACTTGGGAGTCAAGTCGTTCGGGTAGTCTGACTCTCGACTTTCAGCACGACTAAGTCTAGAGGATGTCATCCGACGGGGCCGAACGTCGCGCTGTGTCGCCTCTTCCACTTACCCGTGCATCCATACTAGCGGCCCATGAGGCGATCTCGCACCAGATCCACCGGACACCGATCTTCACGTCCACATCTCTATCAGCTTCCCTCCCCGGAAAGAACAAGCTGTACTTCAAGGCGGAAAATTTGCAGAAGGGCGGCGCCTTCAAGTTCCGAGGCGCCAGTTACAGCCTGTCATGCCTGTCTGCGGAGGAACTCGCGCGAGGGGTGTGCACCCATAGCTCTGGTGTGTGGGCTTCCGTCTATAGCATCGTAAGACTGTATCCGCATGTAATTTTACCTGACACGACGCAACCCGCCGGTAGGTAACCACGCCGGGGCCCTCGCCTTGGCCGCAAAGGAACGAGGCGTCAAGTGCTATGTAGTCATGGTATGTCCAACCCGCCGCCCACATCACTTGTGGTTTACCGACTCACCGCCATCTCACCGCTTTGCAAGCCAAACAACTCGGCTCAGCCGAAGATAGATGCGGTGCGCTCGTACGGAGCCACCATCACTTTCTGCGAGCCCAATGCGCCCGCCCGCGCCGCGGCGCTGGCCGAGGTACAAGCCCAGACCGGCGCGACCTTCATTCCCCCGTACGATGCGGTCAACACGATACTCGGACAGGGAACCGCGTTGCTTGAACTGCTCGACCAGGCGCCCGAGCCGCTCGCTGCCGTCATCACGCCCGTCGGTGGCGGTGGCCTGCTGGCGGGGACAGCCCTCGCTGCGGAGGGTACGGGTGTGCGCGTCTTTGGCGCCGAGCCGGCGGGCGCGGACGATTGTGCCCAGGGCCTGAAGGAGGGTAAGAGGCGCGAGGACGTCCAGGCGAATACAATTGCGGATGGGCTCCGGACCCCCGTTGGGATGCTCAATTTCCCGATCATCCAAGAGAGGGTCGAGAAGGTGATCACGGTGACGGACGAGGTACGCTGTGGTGCCCTTTGATGCTGGGGTAGCGGACAGCTTTGTCGGCCTCGCTGACCCGGGCGTTGTCGATACTGGACAGGAAATCACGGAGGCCATGCGCCTGATGTGGGAGCGGCTGAAGCTCGTCGTCGAGCCGAGCGGCGCGACCGCCTTCGCAGCGGTCAGGAGCGCGCAGTTCCAGGAGCTGGGCATCCAGGGCCCTGTCGGCATAATAATCAGCGGCGGGAACATTGACCTGTCGAAACCTTTGCCATGGGCACGGCGAGAATAAACCGCTAAATATGTCGAATCGGGACACGGAGCTAGAGCCAGATCTATGCATGAAGGTAGCGGATCTCGTACCCCCTGCAGTCATGAAACACATAGAATTCGAGTGGTAAGTGCGGTGGGACTGGTACAATGCAGCATATCCGCATTCCGCGGACATGGGGGTATGACCATTGTGGCGTCGCCGCATTGATTTCTTACAGCACGACGTGTCTTCGGCGCAGCCGAACACGCTCAGTGTCATCCCCGGTCTTCTCACCATATCCACTCTCGACATCTCTGCGTCACAAAATAGAACCTGCTGCCCGCGCACAGACCTGTCTTCCTTGACTTGCCGAGAAGTCGTTGCTAGGTGAGCTTGCTCAGCATCGACTTCCCAATGACATACCCGTTCCCCGGAACTTACCTCCATTCGTCAGTACCCCGACATCGCCTGGAAACATACCGTTGGTGCGACCGCTGTTTGACCTGGCGGCATCCGTGATCGCAGAGCGCGGGTGCGGCAATGCCGGGTACCTCGGACGCCTAAGTAACAGTCTACCGCCAATGACGGTTGACCGCGAGCGGTGCGGTCAATTCGACGGCGAGATCAGATGCGAGGGGGGCGAGATCCGTTTCACTGTCGAGCCTATCCAGTGAGTACGCGCGGCGATGGCAATGACAGCCGTCATCCCGCGAATGATTGCGTCGCCGTGCTGTGCATCGGGGACGGCTTCCTTGGTCCTGCGGCTGCCATGACGGAAACACATGCTTATTTTGTTGGGCCATCGACGTATCACTCGAAAGCTGTTCCGCGTGTGGCCTGAGACTCTCGTCACTGGCGTGACTGTACTATTCGTGGAAGCCAGAGACTCAGGCCTCCGCGATGCTGGCAGTCGCGGCAAGCGCACCCCTTTTTCCCCTTCCGACTCATGAGGTTCAGGCTGCGTAAGCTGGTCTCCACCTACCTGGTGTCTTTAGTCTAGCGACCGCCGGTGCCCTGCCTGCTGCGAGCCGCTGCGAGCTGCGGTGTTTGACTGTATTTGGACTTATGTGCACCCAACGGCGAGCACAGGGGCGCAGCACATCATACGGTGTCCCCGAAACACCTCAGCGTCCGTCCTGAGCTCTGGCCGCTATTGTCCAGTGCGAATAGCATATTGCGATTGCGAAGAAAGCAAAGCTACGTATGTGTACTAGTACATATGTGAAGTGGAGATCTAGCCAAGAGTCCGAGCACCGCCCACCCGCTACCAGAGCACGAGCAGCGCTACCGCAGCTCCTTCGGCGGGATCCACTCGGGGATATTGCCCCACTCGAACGCGTCGCGCTCCGCGCGGAACGCCTCCAGCGCCGTCTTCGGCAGCAGCTCCATGTAGTTCGGCGGCAGCAGCTCGTCGTACTGCGTCGCGCCCGGCTTGTACAGCGCCCGCTTCCGCGCGGCCGCGAAGTCGGGCTTGCCGGACTTCTCTTTCGCGCCGGCTGTAGAGGCGGGAGGGGGTTGGCCGAAGAAGGATCTGGTGGTGGAGGGGGCGGAGGGGGCGAATGCGGATGTGGGTCCGGACGGGGCGGAGGGCTGGTTCGTGAGGGAGTTGAAGACGGAAGTGGGGGGCTGGCCGGCCGGTGTTGAGGACGTGCCGAAGGCGGACCCGGAAGATGGGGTTGCGCCGAACGCAGACCCGGAAGGTGCTGATGTCCCAAAAGCAGAGCCAGTCGATGCGGATGCGCCGAACGCAGACCCACTAGACGCAGGCGCACCGAAGACCGACCCACTTGACGGTTGCGTGCCGAACGCAGACGTTGAACCAAACGCCGAGGTACTTGCCCCTGAGCCGAACGCAGACTGGGCAGGCGCAGGGGAAGTTGTGTTGCTCGCGCCGCCCCCGAACGAGGACTGGCCGAAGACGGATCCACCTGGGGCTTTCGCAGCTGCGGCGAGCCCGAATGCCGACGGCTGCCCACCTGCGAATGCGGAGAACGCTCCACCGCCACCTCCGCTAGTGCTTCCACCGCTCGCAGAAGCGTTTGCGCCTGACGGGTTGGCGAAGGCAGAAAACGCGCCACCACCTCCGCCACCGCTCGACGGAGTAGAGCCAAACGCAGACCCACCCGCAGGCTTCCCGAACGCGCTCTGACCAAAAGACGACTGTCCAAAGGCCGAGGTCGTTCCCGTCCCCTGCGCAGGCTTTCCGAATGCGGACGTTGTCGCGCCTTGCGCTGGCTGTCCGAATGCAGACGTGGTGGCACCCTGCGCAGGCTGGCCGAACGCTGAAGTTGCCGTCCCCGAGGCTGGGGTGCCAAAGGCGGACGTCCCTGCTGCTGGTTTGCCGAAGGACGACTGGCCGAAGGCGGATGTGGACGCTGGCTGGCCGAATGCTGATGTCGTAGTACCTGCAGCTGGTTGCCCGAACGCTGACGTTGTAGAGCCTTGGGCTGGAGTGCCGAAGGCGGACGTAGTGGCACCTTGGGCTGGGGTGCCGAAGGCAGACGTAGTAGTGCCCTGCGCAGGAGTACCAAAGGCTGATGTCGCGGCGCCCTGCGCAGGCTGACCGAATGCAGAGGTAGCCGTCCCTTGCGCTGGCGTGCCAAATGCCGAGGCGGTCGCGCCACCAGCAGGCTGCCCGAAGGCAGGTGTGCTTCCAAAGGCTGACCCACCAGCAGGCTTACCGAATGCTGACTGGCCAAACGCAGGTTGGCCAAAGGACGACTGCCCGAAGGCAGAAGCGGTGCCGCCACCAGCAGCCGTGCCGAACGCTGAAGGCGCAGACCCGCTCGCTCCAGCGAACGCGCCGAAGCCTGAGGGTTTGCCAAAGGCTGATGTCGATGCTGGTGCGCCGAAGGCGGAGGTGGTTGCCCCAGCGCCGAAGGCAGATGGTGGATTCGTCCCGAAGGGTGTGGGGGTACCGCCTGCGGCGGCTGCCTCGTAGTTCTGGACCGCGTGCGCGTGCAGGGCTTGCATGTTTGAGCGAGCGTTCGTGTATGTGGACTGTGCGGCGGCGATCTGGTCCGTCTCGTACTTCAACTGTAGGAAGAGGGGACGGTCGGGGGGAGAAAGCGCAGGGTAGAGATAAAGACGTACGTATTCTTGGATGGTACCGTTCTTTGCCGCCTGGGCAGCCTTGACACGGAGCTCCTCTGGGGATTCGTCGAGACCACAGATGAGGGTGGGCTGGAGCTTCGCTGGGGCGAAGGATGAGAGTGGCCACAAGGGCCTGTCTTGCTCGAAGTCACGCGCTAGCGTTTCAAGACTGAAGAGGTTTTCGCGTTCGGTTGGGTCGCCCATATTGACAAGAGGAAGAAGGGAAAATTAGACGCAGTCGGGAGCAGAGAGGAGGGAAAGGTGCGAACGTGAAGAGGGAGGAGGCGTTTGAGGCGGTGGCTGGAGCGGAAGAGGACGATGCGCCGCGAGGAGTCCATGACTGGTCTATAGAGGACGAGTGAGC